AAATTTTAGGTTCAATTTGTAAATCTTAATATTGCAAATCGAAAATTGTATAGTACCTACCTAATAATACCTAGGTAGGTATATAAATGTAGGTATACCTATATTTCACACTAAATAAAATTGCCTACGCCTATGCAGGTGCGGACTGGCCCAAGGGTCTACTGTCCTAGAACTCTATAGCTATAGCCTATATGAGTTGAAAAATTAAGCATGTACACACTCTATAGTCTCTAAGTCTCAATAGTAATCTATTATACTTTTATTGAAAACCATCCAGTCGTTTTTTGAGGCTATTAACTTCGGTTGAACCAACATCCAATTTTATTTATACAACCCGATTTCGCCTATAAAAAAAATGAAAAAAATACAAACTTTTAATTGTCTAAGTGTATCTTGGTTTTGGTGCAGGGGCACCATTTCAGTTTTAAAATAAGGCTGCCAAACTTTTTACCAGGCCACAGTTATAACAATGAAAATTGAAATGTAGCCATGTTTGAGTTATTTCTAACCTTATTATTAGGGATGAAAAATAATTAATATTTTAAGTGAAAACCCTGATAAAAGTATAATATCATTATTCATTGATATACATTTTCTTTCTATATCTTTAATATCTAAGTATATCTAATATCTATGTATATCCCTTTATTTATACAATATTTGTTATCTTATATTAATTATTTCAATTAATTAAATTTAACTGATACATCGGGCATCGGCACCACCATGAAATTAAGGCAGGCCAATATGATACTGCGAAAAATAGGGCCGCCAATGTATACCCTGCGATACCCCAAATGGCGCCCCTGTTTTGGTGTACCTACCTACCTCAGTTCACAGACAAATTTGCTTCGCTATGCGAACTAAACGAATCAAAATGGAAAATCAACTTTCCTCCCGTATGAAAAATAAAAATAAACCACCCTTCAGGGTACCAATCGGGGTGTAAATTGTAATATCCGCCCCAGAAAACAATTTTGCTCCGTATAAAAATGTGCCGCCCTCCAAAAATGTATAGCCCTATGCAGCCCGCATTGTTCGCAGTGATTTAAATCCGTCCCTGCTTTAAACTTTCCTAATATCTCCAAGAACAATTTGAAATTTTCACCAAATCGGTTAAGTAGTTTTTGAGTACCTATATAATAACTTCATATTTACATTATACTCTTATATATTTGTTTTAAGATAATATAATTTCTTTATTTGAAACCTTAAACGTGACGATTTGATGGATGCTTTTTCTCATCCGTCCGAGTAACTAATGGCAACCATTTATATACAAAAAAAATATTTATTTCTATTAATTATTTCTCTTGTAACCAATAAGAACCATTTATAAACGAAAATGTCCATCGTAAATCTCAAAATCCCTGTTTGACTGTTTGAGCACCTCTGAGGGCCAACTGCAGGGTCCAATTGTGAATCTAAACCATTCTACAGCAACCACTCAAGCACATACAAAACATTTTATAAAAATCGGTCCAGCCGTTTAGGAGGAGTTAAGTCACATACACACCAACAGAAGAAATATATATATTATATATGTATAAAGATGAAACAAAGGCGTCATTCAGTGGCATGCACAGGGGAGAGGTTTAGCCGTTAGGGGCTATATCCTCCCCATTGTATTTGTTGGGTCAAAAAGCTTTATAATTTAATACAAGGCTCCTAATATGTTGTTACAAAAGCAGTCAAAAAATATTAAAAATACATATAGTCACAATTTTATTTATAAGCATTTAGTTCGAATTTTGATACAATTTATGCAAATTTAAAATTTAAAAATAATTTTCTAGTTAAAAATGTATAAAATGTTAAACTTTTACAGCTAAGGATTGAAAATTTAAAGCAAGGTTCCTTGTAAGCAGTAGGTAATTCTGTAACCAAAAAAATATAAAAACAGTTTTTATTTTCAAATTTGGACAAAATTAGATATTTAAACAAAAAAGAATGATTTTAGTTATTACTTATTAGTGCGTTTTTTTGAAAAATATTATCCGTGGGTACTTGAAAAATCTAAAGTATACTATTATACTTAAATATAATAACAAACAAATAATAATAATTCAACTTAACCGCGGTTACCGTATTAAAATAACAATAATATAAATATAATATGAAATGTATTAGACTGACAAACCGTCTCCACTCACTGCTCAGAATCGTTATTCGTATACAATGATGATATTATATCATTGAATTCAAATTTAACAACATGCATTACATTCAAGTTCACCCACTTGTAAGTTGTAACCTACTGTCAAGGCTGGGCAAGTTAATGATTTTTTTTTTTAACTCAGTTAAGTTAATATGCACCAATAACAAAAAGTTAAAAGTTAATTTAACTATAGATTAACTCAGTTAAGTTAAAAGTTAGTTAATTCACACTTTTTGTTAACTTTTTATTAAGTTGAAAAAAAGTTAATTTTTTTATACAATGCAAACTTAATTTTTTTCCGACCCAAAACTAAATTTTAGACAATAGTCATAGAGTGTATACTTTATACAGTATTTCCATGTAAGTTAGATTCGAATGATTTAAATTTTCAACTTTAAACAATTCACGGTACTTAAATATTTTTTGACATGAAAACAAAATAGACTGAAATAGTGAAATATATAATAAAATTAAAAACAAAATAAATTTACTTACTTACTTCTTAAAATGAAAAATTAATTCGTTCATTGAACGTTAATTTAAAAAGAAATTTAGTAAGTTAACAGTTAACGTTAATGAAAAGCCAAAAGTAACTAACTAAGTTAAAAAGTTAAATTAAGATTAACTTTTTAACTTAACTTTAACTTTTTATTCGTTAATGCCCAGTCTTGCCTATACTGTACAGGCGTACTGCAGCAGAGCGACTCCCGCTAAACCGTTTTTTATTTGTTATTTTTGTAAAGGTAGGAAAACTTATGAGTTATAAGGAATCTTGTAATAAACTTTCAAATCTTAGATATAAATACAACAATTTTATGAAATTATAACTCAAAATAATTGGCACATTTTCGTGGTTTTAACGAATTTTATCAATATCAGACGCTCATAATTTACTCTCTACTTTGTTTTTTTAATTTCCTTATGAGGAACCTTGTAATGTTTTTTGATTAAAAAAAACAATTTTTTAACGGCAATGATCTAAAAAAAACAAATAAAAATTGAAAACAAATAATAATAATTCAACTTTACAGTCTACCGTATTAATAATAACAATCAAAGGCTCAATTTCAATTTTTGACTTGTGGGGAGGGCTGAATATATTAAAGGCAAGCAGACCATTGCAATATAGCATTTTAAAATTGTATGTCCTAGGTTTTTGGGGTGCTACGGCTAAGTTTGGGGGGAAGCTAGCCCCCAATTTGTGCCTATGATAACAATATGCATATTATAATATACAATATTCTTGGCTGACAAACAATCTCCGCTCAAAACCGTTTTTCGTATACAACGATATTAAAACATTGAATTCAAATTTAATACCATGAATTACAGTCACCCACTTGTAATCTACTGTACAACAGAGCGACTTCCAGTTACGCCGCTTTTTTTGTTTATTTTTAAAAATGCAGTACATTTTTTCAGTTTAATATGGTGTTATTTTAATTGAACAACCAGATATTAGTGTGGTGTTATAATTTAAATTAATTTTAATTATAGAACAATTCACAAATGTACACAATTATAAGTTAGAAACGATTTTGGACGGCTTGAAAAGTTGAAACATTAAACCGCTTATTTGTGTTTTTGGTATTACCACAGTTCATTTAAATGTATTATTATTTATTACATAGTTAAATATAAATTATGTTTTACTCTAACTCACAATATTTCAATTCATAGATGCTTTTAAAATTAAATTGATAATTTTATTTGAATAAAAAATTAACAGAATGAAAATGTTTTTTTATAGGTACATTCAAGTATGTATAAAGAACCAACCTAAATAGTAAATATAAAAAAAAACTCATATTGTTCCAGTTTTTATAACAAATAAATCATAAATAACTCTCTCTAATTTGCCACTATATTATTTATGGGGCTAAAACATATTTTGGCAGCTAACCCCCCTCTAGCTCCTAACTAATTATGCATATGGTCAGGGTAGGCCGCTGTTTTATCTGGGATAATACATGCATATATGGTGTCTATGTACAACCAATTTTAGCACAGGTACCTAATTAAATTTGGTACATTTTTCATGAACAGTGAGGACATCAATATAGGCTGGTGGCTACTGTTCAAACATTTTTTTTTATTATTATTATTTAAAAAAGTATATTTACCATCTATACAATAGACAATGTGTAACGAGTAAGTGTGGTAATATAAGAACATTAGACATAAAATAACATTAATAGGAAGGCTCAATGCAGTACCACCTAACCAGAAATTAACATAAACATATGGAAGTAAAATCAATTATTTTATAATCTGTAATTTAAGTAACTACAGTAAAACCAAACGCAATATATTATAATTATTAATGGTAAACAAAATTGTAAATAATAGCAAATATAGGGTATTTAAATTTTTTTAACCTTGGTTTATATATTCTAATAAAAATAATATGGCACCTTAAATCTATTATTCAGATTTTATTGTATGAAGATTGGCTTATATTTTTTGCCCTTGAAACTAAATATGTTTTTATTTAACAGCATTCTTAAAATTGTTGGTAAATTCCATTATATTATATTTAATCTTTAGTCGTGTATTTAACACACATATTATATTATATTATATTAGGTATGTTTATATTTTATATATAATTTATCAATAGTCAATTCTCAATAAGCATAATATGTATAATATAAACAAACATACACATACATTATACATACATCTATATTAAATGCACATTGCACATATTATATTAAAATTCATAATCATAATTTATTGTATAGGTACTACACAAATGTTCAATAATAAATAAACAAATAAATAGAAAACACAATTTTAATGGACTATAAATATTTTACAAATTATCAATTAAATCATAACATTATTGACTAGTCTTCAGATATGTATTAAACATTTCAACACTAGTCTTAGCAAGGTTTATACAAAATTCTGAATCATCTCCTGAAACTAATTTTGAAAGTGGTACATAATTGGGCTTTGTTGGGTCATATTGTGCTCGGTTTAAATATTGCAGATACTCATGTCTCTGTTTGATTCTAAATAAACGACTGGTCAATACTTGAGGTTCAAGGACAATGCGGTCGTGATTTATGTCCATAGTATGATGTATGTAGTTGAACCGTTGTAATAAATGATTTTTAGACATTACAAATAATTTGGGATGGATTTGTAATAGTCTTTTCCTTTCACTTTTATTGAAACCCATTTCTTCAATCAATGAAAACATTATTAAATTTACCGATTTTTTTGGCCAAGTAATCAATTTTGGTAATTTAGTAACTACACTACGGATATTATCACCAGAAAGAAAGAAATTAGTTTGGAAAAATCCAAGACTGGTATCAATGTCAACTGTACTTTGAGACAACCATTTTGGGTGTTTTCGGATTATAGTACTTATCATTTCTTTATTGAATTTTTTATATTCTAAATAATTTATTCTGGTTATTAAATCATCCATATGTTCAGAAAATATCATAGGATTTTTTGTGAGAAATTTTCCCAATTCTTCAACTGGTACTCCACAATCATGAATAAATCTTATATACGGTTTCATATCACGTTCAAAATCTAATTTCAATATCATTTCCATTACATTAGGATTATTGTCAAATTTATAAATTTCAACGCCAAGTTTGACTAATTGTTGTAGTGAATATGATTCATTAACATATGCAGCCAGATTAAATGTAGGGTTTAATGCTGGACTAATAGTAGAAAAATTAGTAACATTGGGTTCCAGTGGAACATTGTTGTAGTCCTTAGGCCACTGAAATTGATTGGACTTGATTGTCTCTAAAGTATTATCAGAGCTACAAAAACATCTGAAGAACTGTTTTTGTTCATTAATTTTAAACGATAGTATTCGTTTAAATATATTCATGATGATATAGCTCGAATATTTGAATTCCTGAAACAATTTGAGGTTGTTCAAGTCTCAAGGAAAAATGAAATGATTTTTCAACTGCCAATCTGTAAAAAAAAAAAATTATATAATAATTGAATAAAAATTTTAACAAGTTTTTAGAGTTATCTTCTATTATCAAAATAATTTTAATTAATAATTTTTTAATCTTTTATTTAAGTTTAAACACAGGCTATATACGATATACCTACTTTAAGGGCTAATATTTTGATAATGTTTTGACAGTATTGATATATTATATTATATACCTACTCAGTCCACCGAGAGAATATGAGTGCGCAGAAACTAAAACTAGTCTTCATTGACTGCAACACTACCTCCTATAATAATCTCTTGTTAAGATGGTGATCAAGGTGGACCTGTAATATTGTTTATGGGAAGTAGTAATATTCTCTTGGTGGACGGAGTATAGTTAAAGAACATTAGAAATATAATTAAAAAGATGAATAAGGTTACACATAGTTATATCATGTAATATTAAAAATTAAGACTGAAACTTTTATTATTAGCTAGATACATCATATGAAGAATGAGTGATTTTGTTACAATAGTCAAGTCTTTAGAATGAAATAAAGAATGGATGGAATTCTAAGAAGTGAGAAGATAATAACAATTTTAAGAAAACAATATTTACATGGCCGTACACAAGTGGTCGGGTCGGGTCTGGACTCCCCCCCCATTGATTGACAGAATTTAAAATTCTTAAGGTGCAAACCACTGATTGTATATTTTTACATATTAAAAAAATATGGAGCCCCCCTTTGAAAAATTCCTGGGTACGCCCCTGAATATTTAGACTGACTTTTATTATACCTAATATACCTGATATTATCATATTTAGAAGTGTTAAATGAAGATTATCCATACTTAAAGGTCAATATAAACTATTATATAATAACGGTTGAATAAAGAGCTTTATAAATTAGACATTTTTAATTTTAATGTAAATCTACTAACTAGTATGAAAATTATAAGCAGAATGTTATTATTATTTTTATATGTTAATGTTATATACTAAGGGCAAGTTGTACCATCTATGATTAAAGTTAATCGGAGTTTAATCAGCCAAATTTGCCTGGTTAAATATCTGTTGTCAGCTGATTAAGCTTAATCGTAGTTTAACCGTAGACGGTACAACCAGCCCTAAGTAGTTACAAAATATATTTGTAGAGCTCACAAAATTGTCTATTATTTAAAAAAAATTTTAAATAGTGCCCTATGTGGGTTTAAGTGAATGATAATATAGGTTTTTCATAAGATAAACACAAATGCCCCACGTTTTCGATATTCCGAACAACATAAATAAAGAAAAATAAATAAAAAACATAGAAGGAATAATTTATCTGGTTCAAATGCAAAAGAAATTAATAAACCAAACATTAAATAAAAAAATTTTATATTGAAAATATAATATCTAGATTAATTAGTCTTAAAAGTTATTTACAATATAATTTCAAAACTGCTATTACTTGACAAGCACTTCATGAAAAACCCTATAATTATAATTATAATTTATCTAATAAACAATCATATATCTATTATTTATTTGATCAAATTAGTGAATAATTTATTAATAAATAATAATAATACATATTTAGTTTCATAAGAATTTATTGAAAATGTCTATTAATTTACCTGATTCCAATGAAAGTTTCGGAAATTAAAATCACCAGAAATTAGTTTTTAGATTTGAGGTATAATTCAATGGAAAATCAGTTGAATAAATTAAAAATAATTCATGAACTTTTAGCTTCAAATTCCGAATTTCTGAAATATTATTATTATTCTTATCATTTTTATGAAGTTTAATCCACAGCACGGCTATAGATAATATTATCTATAGCCGTGATATAGATAATATTATCTATAGCCGTGATCCACAGCACGGTTTATATCACTAGAAAAAAAACGGTTTATATCACTTTCATGGATGAAAATATCATATCAGCTTGGCTTGGAATAAACAACAATAACATTTATCACTGGCCGCTGAATTTCAAAATATTTAAATTTTTTAATATCATATTATTATAATGTATAAAATACAAATACAATTTCACAACTGAGGCCGTATTAGATTCTGAGTGAAACGATGAATGTATAAATGTATTGATTTTACAATGATGTGTTTTTTTTTATTTTTTTGTGTCTGTGTACACGATAAGTAGTCGAAATAATTCTTCGATTTTCAACTTCAGTATCTTGTTCGATTGGAAAGTGCATATCGTTGGTGAATTAGGTAGGTCAAAATTTAAAATACCCAGTACTTTTCAAAAGCGCCAAGAAAAACAAAAGAAAAATTAAGGAAAAACAGGAATTTTTACTCAAAATCGATTTTTCAGAAAATTGAATTTGGTTTTTGGTGTAACTTTAAAACAAATGACCGTAGATACATGAAATTTTCACTGGTTGTTTATATTTGCATTTTCTATACACGATAACATTTTCAAAATATTTTGATTTATTTTGAACTGTTTAGGGACATTTTTATTTTTCATTTTTTTTTAGTTTTTTTTCTAGAAATATCAATAAAATTGTATTTGTTGGTTAAAAAAACTTGAAAATTTAATAAAAGGCTCCTAGTATATTGTTTCAAATTATTAAAAATCGTTAGTCACAGTTTTTTTTATAAGCAAGTAAAGTTCAAAAATTGACAAAATATGGAAAAATCACGAAAATTAGCAAATTATTTTGAGTTAAGAATTCGTAAAAATTTTTCTTTTTAAATCTAAGATTTGAAAATGTAATACAAGATTACTCATAAGTTTGTCTACCTTTATCAATAAAAAAATCTCTACCGGACAGTCAAATTAAATTTTTATGAGCGTTTGAAATTCAAATTTTGGATGTTCACTCGATTTCTCATGTAGCGATTTCCTTATTTTGTTGTTATTCATAAACGAATTACTGTAGATAGGTACATGAAAATTTCACTGAATGTTTATATTAGCATTTCCTTAACTTATCATTTTGAATAGTTTTTTCTGTTAAGTTTAAGGACATTTTAGTTTGAATTCTTTAATGTGTGGTCCTATTGTTTAATTTCTAATTTTTTTTTTTTTTTCTAAAACGCATTTGCCTGCGGGCGCTAACATCCCCCTTCAAGTTTTTTTTTTAGTTATTTAACTCTAGTTAAATATTTTGTTTAGACTTGAACGTTGATAACCTGACTCTTTAATGTGTGGTCCTATTGTTAAATTTCTTCTATTTTAGATTCTGAGCGGAGCGATGAATGTATTGGTTTTACAATGATGTGTGTTTTTATATTTTTATATTTTTTTTTGTGTCTGTCATCACGTTTTAGGACAGTAAAAGTGCTTGGATTTTCTTCATCAGTATCTTTTCTGATAGGAAAGTGAATCTAGTTGGTACTTTGGGGGGTCAAAAGTATAAATTTCCCAGTAGTTTTCACAAGCGCCGGGAAAAACAACATAAAAATTAAGGAAAAACGGGAATTTTTACGCAAAATTGGTTTTCCAAAAAATCGATTTTGGTTATTGGTGTAACTCTAAAACAAATGAACGTATATACATGAAATTTTCACTGGTTGTTTATATTTGCATTTTCTATACACAATAACATTTTCAAAATATTTTGATTTATTTTGAACTGTTTAGGGACATTTTCATTTTCCATTTTTAGATTCTGAGCGGAGCGATGAATGTATTGGTTTTACAATGATGTATGTTTTTATTTATATTTTTATATTTTTGTGTCTGTCATCACGTTTTAGGACAGTAAAAGTGCTTGGATTTTCTTCATCAGTAGCTTTTCTGATAGGAAAGTGAATCTAGTTGGTACTTTGGGGGGTCAAAAGTATAAATTTCCCAGTAGTTTTCACAAGCGCCGGGAAAAACAACATAAAAATTAAGGAAAAACGGGAATTTTTACGCAAAATTGGTTTTCCAAAAAATCGATTTTGGTTATTGGTGTAACTCTAAAACAAATGAACGTATATACATGAAATTTTCACTGGTTGTTAATATTTGCATTTTCTATACTCGATAACATTTTCAAAATATTTTGATTTATTTTGAACTGTTTAGGGACATTTTCATTTTCCATTTTTTTTTAGTTTTTTTTCTAAAAATATCAATAAAATTTTATTTGTTGGTTGCGAAAGCTTGAAAATTTAATAGAATGCTCCTAATATGTTGTTTCAAAGGCAGATGAAAAATATTAAAAATCCTTAGTCACAATTTTTTTTTATATGCATTTAAAGTTCAAAAATTGACAAAATATGGAAAAATCACGAAAATTAGCAAATTATTTTGAGTTAAGAATTCGCAAAAATTTTTCTTTTTAAATCTAAGATTTGAAAATGAAACACAAGATTCCTTATAAGATTATCTACCTTTATCAATAAAAAAATCTCTACCGGACAGTCAAATTAAATTTTTATGAGCGTCTGAAATTCAAATTTTTACAACATTGGATTTTCACTCGATTTCTCATGTAGCGATTTCCTTATTTTGTTGTAATTCAAAAACGAATAACTGTAGATACATGAAAATTTCACTGAATGTTTATATTAGCATTTCCTATACACCATACAATTTTGAAAATATTTTGACTCTTTTTGAGCTGTTTATGGACATTTACAGCTTTCAATTTTTTTTAGTTTTTTTTTCTATATATATCAATAAAGTTTTATCTGTTTGGCCAAAAAGTGTAAAAATTTAATACAAGGCTCCTGATATATTGTTACAATATCAGTTGAAAAATATTAAAAATACATAGGCACAATTTTTTTTTATAAGCATTTAAACATCGAATTTTGACAGAATTTTTCAAAATCTCGAAATTTATTAATCATTGTAATTAATAAGTTATAAAATGTTCAGTTTTTATAGCTAAGGATTGAAAATTTAAAACAAGATTCCACGTAAGTAGTTTATTATCTTACCGAAAAATCTAAAAAATATACAATCACAGTTTATTTTTATAGTCATTTTATG